CGCCTTTGGGCGTGCCAGTCTTAGGGGTAGGGATAGGTTCGAGGCTGGTTAATCGTTTTGCAACATAGCTCTTGCAGCAAGAAAGGTCTGCGCGCACTCCTTGCAGGTTCTTGAGAAGACCACGTGCGTTCCCCCGCTTGCACGGCATGCAGCCCCATGGGCCTCTGGCGCGCGCCCGTCGAAATGCGTCCAACGCCTGTTGCTCGCGTGCCAGGAAGGGGCACGCACTCTGTCGGTCGCCCGTCGGCCGTGCGCGCATGGCGGATTCCTTCCAAACCCTTCATCACCGTCACGTGGACACCATCGTCGTCATCGGCGTGATCAGCATCGGTGCCGTTATTGGCATCGGTGATCAGCATCGGTGCCGTTGTTGGCCTTGCCTCCGTCATCGTCATCCTCGTCAGTATCGCGACTATCATCATCGCGCCTGCCGTTGTCGACGCCGCCATGGTACCGCGCCCGCCCGAACCACCGACTCGCACTGAAGTGCCCGCGCGTCAGCGCGGCTTGCTAAACGGGCTGGGGAGTCCCCAGCAGTCAGCGCCACCGCGACCGCGTCGGTCGCGCCAGACTGCAGGCCGTTTTGCGCGCGAGCCTGCGCGCGCCAGCGCGGCCGTCGCGATGCGCCAGCCAGCGCCGGGCACCTATGGCAATCGCTTTTGCATGAGTTTTGCTTTCCAAGTTGCGGGTGGGTGGGTGGGATGTCTGCGCGAACAGTGGAGTTGACATTTTCCAGCTCGACAGGGTAGACTACACCACATAAATTGTCACTGCAGTTTTCTCCGCATGGTTTGCACCACGTCTATTACACCGCGTAGGTTGCTAGAGGCACACGGCGTAGGGTCCAAGCTGGCGAACATGTTGCATTACAGATGGGGAACGCCTTGGGCTCAGATTGGGTTGCTCTCCCCCGTGTGCAACAATAGCGGCTCCAGCCTGACAGATCCTGGCAATGGATGTAAATTGCTGATTCCGCGCTGGACACGCTCACAACTGATTGAAGACGACGTGCCCTCGACAGTCAGGACTCCGGTTTTCGCTCTAGACCCCCTCGCGGTTTATTTGGGTCCTCGTCCTTCGTGCAGGATTGATGTTTCAGGGTTGGCACGGAAGGTTCGAGATTGGCATGGTGAGTGGCACGCGAGCAAACAAGAACGATCAGTTTTCACATGGCTGTTGATGTGGAGTTCCCAATTAAAGAATACTTGCAGTTGATCGTTTTGCGCGGTGCCCATCTGCGTTTTTCAACCGGAGTGCCCCTCCCGTGGCCCGAACCTTGTTATTTAGGCTGGAAGTTCACGCACACCGAACTATATCCCCCTGGCCCTTAGTTTACAATCGCAGCGGTTCCAGCTTGATACTTCCCGACGATTGATTCACAATCGCGCTCTCGCGCGGGAAATCCTCACAACTTGCGCAGGAATCGCGCTCTCGCGTGGGACTGCCCCTCACACTTGATATAAAAAGAACCCGCGCGGTCGACACTCAGGAATCACGCCCTCGCTTTGGACGTCTTCGCGACGTATTGGAAAATCACGCTATCGCTCTAGCCGCCCTCGCGATTTCTGCAGGACTGACGCTTCAGCGACCCGCCCGTTCGACCCGGCTATTTCAGGATGCGCGAAAGATTCATGAAGCATTCGTGAGGATTCCTGAGTAGTCCCGAAAGATTATTTTGGGTTTCTTCGGGGTTCCTATGGTTTCCCCCGGATTCTCTAGGACTTAATGGTCGGACTTTATGGGCCTTCCGGAAAGATTCCAGAAGTAACTATTCTCGAAGAGTGCTGGAGGGTTCTTCCAGCAAATTCCAAAACGATTCTCCTGGGGGTCTCTTAAGGATGTCGGTGCCAGTGTGGCCTCTGAGGACTTTGTGTGGGTGTCGATTGAACGCATGGGGGTTCTTCAAAATTCCAAAAGATTCCTGGGGTATTCATGGGGTCTCGAAGGAGGTCTGAGGCTTCTTGAAGGATCGCTGAGTATTTCTTTTAAAACAGATTCCTGAAGGATTCCTGAAGGGTCCCTGAAGGATTCCCGAAGAATTCGCAAAACGACTCCTGAGGGCTGCGCCTTTCGAAAAAATGCCGGAGGATTCATGAGGGTTTTGTTTGACTCCTGGGATATCCCAGCGGGTTCCCGAGGATCCCTGCAGGAACTTTAGATTCCAGAAGAAATCCGGACCGAGTCCAAAAGGATTCCGGAAGAGAGCGGACTCCTGAGGATGCCTGCAGGTCCCTGCGGATTCCTGAAGGGTTCCTGAACATTTCATAGGATCCCGCAGGATTGTTGCAGGATTCCTGGGCATCCATGAACGATTGCCGAAGGAGCTTTTGATGATGCTCGAGGAATCAGGGGGATTCCGGAAGATCCCTCAAGGATCCCAGCGGTTTCCTGAAGGAGGGATTTCTTGTCGATCCCCGATGGATTCCGGAAGGATTCTTGTGGCATCCAGAGGATTCCTGAAGGAAGGATTCTTTAAGGAAGGACTTCGGGTCTCGAAGGATTCTTGCGGGTTCTTTGAGGATTCGCCACGGCTACCTGTTAGGATACCAGAGGATCACACAAGGATTCCACGGATCTCGGGAACATGCTTTACGATTCCGAATGGATGTCCGAATGGATTCCCGAAAGATTCCTCGAGGACTTTTTAATGATTCCAGAGGATCCTTGGGAATCCTTAGGATCCCTGATGGTCCCTGCGAACTCCTGGAGAATTGCGAAGGCCTTACGGCAGGTGCCGCCGACCCTGAAGGGAGACGACGGCGACGACGACGACGACGACGACGACGACGACAACGGCGGCGACGACGACGACGACGCTGACGTGGACGAGAGTTCTAAGGATGCTCCTTGGGGTCTCTTCGGAAGGCTCTCCGAGACCTCAGAGGATGAGTTTAGGGGCCTCCTGGGAGCCTCTTGGGGGCCTTTGGAGGCGTCTTCGAGCTTCCTGGGGACCTCTTGTGGGCTTCTTCGTGCCTCTTGAGGACCTCTTGGGGCCTCCTGAGGGCCTCTCGGGGCTGGGGGCTCGAAATGTTTGTAGGGCCCCCCGTCTGTGCACGCTTTTGGAGAAGTCTTGTGGGCCTCTTGGGCCGCCTTGGAGGCGTTTTGGGCTGTCTTGGGGTCCTCCTGGGCTGCTTTGGGGCCCTCTTGGCGGCATCTTGGGCTGTCTTGGGGCGATCTTTGGGGCCTTTTGCGCCGTCTTGGAGCGACGGGAAGTACATAGAAATGGCGATCACATTTTTATATAAAAAAACACGGAAGATCAATGAATTTGTCCTTTTGGGGCCCTCTCGGGAGTCGTCTTGAAGGTTTTTTGGGGCGTCTTGGAGGCTTCGTGGGCAGTCTGGAGGGCGCGAAATTGTTTTGGCCCGATCGTTTGGCGATTGGGGGCCCTCTTGGGCCGTATGGTGGCTCTTGGGGCACTCTTGGCATGTCTTGGTACTTTCTGATGCCCCCGGACCCCCAGGGGGGAATGCGTATCTGACCCCCCCTGCGGCAGAAGCACACGGTCGTCGTGCTAACACTGTAAGCATCGTCCAACCGATCCCTCTCCCCACCGGGGTGGCCCGGGTGACCACCTTGCCCCCCCGGGACCCCCCCCTGATTGGGTAGAGAGCAAAGGGAAGGGGCTCCCTTTTTGACTCGCTTACGGCATTGCTAGAATTTTCTTTCGTTGACAAGCCTGAGGAGGGTGCGCAGGGAAAGGGGACGACGGAGACGACGACTGACTGACGACGACTCGAACAGACAAGCCCCATCGCACAGGGTCGGAGATTCTTTGTAGGATTTTTCCAGATTCCAAAGGATTATCGATCCCCACAGATTCCTTGTTGGATTCTTCACGGATTCCTAGAACTCTTTCCAGATCCTTGAGCATCCCCCATGATTCCCGGAGGGGTCTTGATGATTCCTGATGGCCTCCTGGCGATTCCTGAGCATTCTTGTGCTTTCCTCAGGACGCCTGAGCATTCCTCAGGATTCTGGAAAGATGTCTGCGAATTCCCAACGGATTCCTGAAGAAGTCCTGAAGAATTCCTGAACGACTCCTGGAGGATTCCCGAAGGATCCTTGGGCAGTCTGGGGGAATTCTTCACGATCCCACTTGATGCCCCCTGGGTCGCGGCGGTTGTGGGTGGGTCGCGGGTGGGTCGCGGCGCTCGCGTGTCGCGGCGGGGATGGGTCGCGGGTGGGTCGCGGCGCGGGTGGGTCGCGGCGCGGGTCGACCGCCTTACGCATATCCGCGTTTGCTGGGGATTAGGTGAATCAGGAGGGGAATTACGCAACCGAGGAATCCCACATACTTGCATTATGGCTGGAGTGATGATAACTGAAATGAAACATGTGAGAATGATGTTGGTGGCCGTTCCCTGCGCCCCCCCTAGGTTGTCGAGAATAGGCCACGCCTGCTGTGCCCTGGACGACCGGCTCGGATAGCGGCCACGCTCAGAGACCCCCCCCTGCGCACCCCGTATGGTGTCGAGCACATCTTTGGCCACTCTCGCTGGCCGCGCCCCGCTCGAAGAGCGTCGACATGGCCTTCAAGGCCCTTGCATCCTGATCCTTCATGTCTCTCAGGCCACAGATTCTCGCGTGAGCTTGCCTATGGCAGGCCGGCTCGCCTAGCGATCCGAGTTTGCCTGGCGGTCTTCTGCTTCACGCTACTGTGCAAGTCACGCCGCAGGGTGCTTCACTGATCGTGCGCTCCCCTCTCCTCTCCTCCCGGCGAGGAAACAAATCCGTGTCGCGCAGCCTGATTACAGTCGGGGCGCTGAAGAAGAAACCCGTTTCGTTGGGGAGGGGCTCGGTGTTTCTTGATTGTTCCACACCTCGCCTAAGGTTTTCCTGACATGTTCGATGGGAAGTCGAAGTTTAACTTATGGAAAAAAGGGCCTCGTTCCTTATTTCGGGTTCCTTAGGTCAACGCCTCGACTGTAGACGCGCTGACTGCAGGGTTCGCGTGTGCTCGCCCGAGGAGCGCACCCGCCGCGTGGCCGCCCAGGCAGGGCGGGGCGGCCTGGGGTGCAACCTGTCGCTGGCCGAGGACCGCGGCTGCGGCGACGCGCTGCCGCCCTGCCCCGCCGCCGACTGCGCCTGGGGCGGCTGGTCGCCCTGGAGCCTGTGCACGGCCACCTGCGGCGGGGGGCAGCGGAGCCGGGCCCGCGAGGTGGCACAGGAGCCAGGGGAGGGGGAGGAGGGCGAGGGAGAGGAGGAGGGGGAGGAGGAGGAGGAGGAGGAGGAGGAGGAGGAGGAGGAGGAGGGAGGAGGAGGAGGAGGAGGAGGAGGAGGAGGAGGAGGAGGAGGAGGAGGAGGAAGGAGGAGGAGGAGGAGGAGGAGAGGAGGAGAGGAGAGGAGGAGGAGGAGCGAGGAGGAGGAGGAGGAGGAGGAGGGAGGAGGAGGAGGAGGAGGAGGAGGAGGAGGAGGAGGAGGAGGAGGAGCGTGGTTTCTGTGACGCTCTGGGCCCCTTCGTGGTCTTTGCGAAGTCCCAGAAGGCTCCCCATGGCCCCTGGAAGCCTCGCCTCCCCCCCCAAGGAATACCGATACGGTGGAGGCGTTCGTTGAGGAATGGGCCCAGGAGGCTCTTCAGAGCCTTGGGGATTCCTGATCCCACGAGGGCGGCGGTGATGTCCATGGCCACTCCGCGATTGGAGTACCGCCGGCTTCAGGCCTGGGATTCCTTATCCGATGGCTCCTGTGCCAATGCCCTCACCGTACCGCTGTTCGTGCTGCAGGGCCCTCGTCCTGAAGAAGGAAACGCTGCATCAGCATGAACTGTCGGAGCTCCGCCATGGTTCCTTGTATCGGCGCTGTGCCTTCCTGGCGGCTCTGGTGCCGCCCCTGGCGCGCTCCGCGCGAGCCAGGGAGTGGGGTCCAGCGCAGACCGAACCTGCAAACGGCTATGTTTACGCAATTCATGCTCACCGTATCGTTGCCACGGCTGGATTCGCCTCCCCAAGGCCCCCTCGCGTCGGGGGAAAACAGATCCTGGATAATGACCCAACCATATGCAGCTGTGAGTAATGCAGTTGTGAAAATCATCTTCGGTGGAGCTCCCTATGGGGCCACGACACGTGTGGGGTGTGTGCCGAAGTGAATGGGGGGGACGCATGTGAACAGTGGCACTGGGGCCTTCGGTGGAGCTCCCTATGGGGCCATGAAATGTGTGAGGGGTGTGCCGAAGTGGGCGGGGGGGACGCATGTGGACGGTGGCACTGGGGACTTCGGTGGAGCTCCCCATGAAGCCACGAAACGTGTGAGGGGTGTGCCGAAGTGGGTGGGGGGGGCGCGTGTGGACGGTGGCACTGAGGCCTTCGGTGGAGCTCCCTATGGGTCCACGACGCGTGCGAGGGGTGTGCCGAAGTGGGTGGGGGGGACGCATGTGGACGGTGGCACTGGGGCCTTCGGTGGAGCTCCCTGTTGGGCCATGAAACGTGTGAGGGGTGTGCCGAAGTGGGTGGGGGGGCGCATGTGGACGGTGGCACTGAGGCCTTCGGTGGAGCTCCTTGTGATGCCACGAAGCATGTGTGGAGGAGGAGGAGGAGGAGGAGGAGGAGGAGGAGGAGGAGGAGGAGGAGGAGGGGGAGGAGGACGAGGAGGAGGAGGAGGAGGAGGGGGAGGAGGAGGAGGAGGAGGAGGAGGAGAAGGCGGAGGAGAAGGAAGGAAGGAAGGAAGGAAGGAAGGAAGGAAGGAAGGAAGGATGAGAACGCGTGGCGCTGCCTCTTCAAAACGAGGACCCAACACCACAGGATGGTTGGGAAATACATTGGCGAAGAACTCAACCCAATGTTCACGCGTGGCGCCTATGTGCAGGACCGCTCAATGCGCATGAACATACTCACGGATTTGCATTACCCTTGAACGCGTCGACAGAGAACACAAGGCCACACTTAATGGAGCGGGGCGGAGCGAAATAGGAAAGGCGACACTATGCGGACGCAGCCACTGGGGCCTTCGGTGGAGCTCCCTGTGGGACCACGAAACGTGTGAGAGGTGTGCCGATAGGAGGCGGTTCACCATGGTGAACTTGGCCACTGGCGACTTCGGCGGAGCTCCCCGCGGTGCCACGACACGAGTGCGGGGTGCGCCGAGGGGGGTCGGCGATGATGCTGACGACGACGATGATGACGACGATGAGGATGATGCTGATGGCAAGGACTAGAAGGAAGGGTGGAGGAGGGGGAGGGCGAGGAGGAGGAGAAGGAGGAGGAGGAGAAGGAGGAGGAGGGAGAAGGAAGAGGGGAGGAGGGGGAGGGCGAGGAGGAGACAGTGGGGCGCGGCGCCGCGAATTCGGGAGGAGGAGCCAGCACAAAGGCTGGGAGCGTGAACAAAAACAACTCGGGACGACAGACTGGTCCCCGGGAAGGCGTCCAGACCTTGGGTCAACGGCACCGCAACGGGTACTTGTTAACGGGTACTTTGCAATTTTGCCGAAAGTTGCCACTTTAGGGCCTCTTTCTGGCAATGCAGCGTTGCCCGCATCGGGAAGGGTTGGGTTCGCTGGGTCACTGGGTCACTGGCCAAAGTACCGTTAGTGGAGTCCCCGTTTGAGGGGCGCTGATTGGGGGTGCCAAGCATGGCAAAGTCATGGTGTCGGCTGTCTGGGCCCTCCCCTCGCCACCACGGCCGGATTCGCATGGACATCGGGGCGTGAACGACGCACTCCAGGAGAGGCCGAGGGAGTACAGTCGGGGCCCTGAAGAAGGCACCCTTTTGGTTGGGGAGGGGCTCCGCGTTCCTTAAGTGTTTCACAGCTTGCCTCAGGTTTTCCTGATGTTTTCGATAGGAAATCGAAGTTTAACTTATGGAAAGAAGGGGCCTCGTTCCTTATTTAGGGTTCCTTAGGTCAACGCCCCGACTGTAGCGGTGCTGGCGCCTGTGTGTCCCCCCCCCCCCGAGGAGGCCACCGTCGGGGGGAAGCCGTGCGCGAAGCCGCACCACTCGGCCGTGATCGAGGCGTGCGGCACGGGCCCCTGCGAGGCCGCGGGGCGCTCCAGAACGGGCCCGTGCCTCCGGCGCGCCTCTCGCCCGCACTGCGGCAGCCGGCGGGAGCTTTTCACAGAGGGCCGCGGCGCGGCCGGCGGAAGGCGGCAGAAGTACAGTCGAGCAGTGGCGAAGCGTCCCGGCTCGCCTGTAGCCCCACCAAGCAATGTTCTGAGAACCTTTTGTGTGGTTCCCACGGGATGTTCTCAGGACATGTCTGGCTGGGGCTGTCTTGTTTTGACACATCGGGCTTCTGTTCTAAGAGCGTTGTTCCTGTTCTCAGAACATTGTTGGCTGGGACTGTCTTGTTTTAACACATCGGGTTTATGTTCTAAGAACATTGTTCTTGTTCTTAGAACATTGTTTGGGTTCTAAGAACATTTCGTGGTATGGCTATAGGAATGCCGGGACGGTCAGTCCCTGCTAAAAGTACAGTCGAGCATCTGATTAAGACCCCCCCTCCCGAAAAGCTGGGCCAGCGTTTCCTCACCAACTGGCTGGAAAGGTGGCCCGGCTTTCTGAGTACGTTCTTCCCCTCCAGCGTTGACAGCAGTCGTCCGCCCGGGTTTGTGAGCAGTTGGCGCAGATTTCTGAAGTCACATATTTCTTAGACGTAGTTTCGGCTCTATTGCGCCGTGGACCCGGCATCAACCAAACATACTCATTCTAGGTGTGCGTCGCTCCCCCCCATGGCGACGCGCGCGCGCCGAGAAATCTTGTGATATAGGCTCCGTGGCGGGCGCGTTCTGGCCATGCCGCTTGGGACATGCCACTGCTACGGGATGCTTGGACTACATGCTCGTGTCGGACGGGCACCCCCAGGGAGGAAGCACGGTGCTAGTAGGTCCTCCTGCGTCTCCTGCTGCACCGTGCGCGGGTTGAACCGATCCCTGTCCACTTCTCCATGCCCGTCCAGATCCCCACCCTCCCACCACCCCACCTGGGGATGTGCCCCTGGAGACTCGAAGGAAACAACCTATACCCCCATCCGGGGGGGTGCGAATCCGCCAGCGGGGCCCCGGCCACGCCCGCGAGGAGAGGGATCAGTTAAGCGATGCTCAGCAGATCCTGCACGATGGTACAGTCAACCCGCATACAGTGACGTTTTCAGTACATGCTCCGCGTGCGGATCATGGATATAACAATGCAGGGATTTAGTACTAAAAACCACGATGAATCCATGCATACATTGATTCATACATTAATCATGGATTAAAAACCCTATATGTTTTGAAAAATCCCATGTATCAAAAACTGCCCTGTAGTAAGGATGGGCACGCGGCCTTCTGTCTCGAATGGACACAGGCCGCGGCGGCGCGGACAGCGAGTCCTGTTCCGCCATGCGGTCGCTCGTGGCGCATTGTGGTGCTCACAAGCGCAACGTGGTGCTCGCAAGCTAGACTAATGTGCCCGCTGGCACGTTTGGCGCTGGGGTGTACACACGCGCGGTGTGGTGCAAGGAGGTACTGTAGTGTACACTGGCGCTTTTGCGCACGCGGCTGCTGCAGTGTACACAGGCATTGTGGTGCACTCAGGTTGTGCGCGCGGCTGCTGTGGTATACGGAGGCACTGTGGAGTACGCAGGCGGCGCTGTGTTGCACGCAGGCGTTGGTCATTGCCGTGTGCACAGGGACTGGCACGCAGGCATTGGGCATTGTCGTGTACGCAGGGACTGTGGTGCACACAGGAGGTTGATGTGCTGGTGGCGCGGGCCCACTCTGGCGGGTGCACGCCGCGACCGCCGCGACCGCTATTTCCCCGACCGCGCGCCCTCCCCCCCAGGGGTAACACGTGTTACCTTCAACGGGTAAGAGAATGTCTCCACCTTTTGCGCATCGCCCAATGTAGGGACGGCACCGCACGGCTCGCGGCACGCGGCACGGCACGGCACGATATGGATTCCAGAGCCCAGGCGCGACACAGCGCCGCACGCGGGCCCAGCACCTTCCGGCACCTTCTTCGAACTCTAGGACCTGGGCGCGGCCCGACGCGCGGCCGTGGCATGGCACAGTTTTTATCGCCTTCCAGAACCCACACGACGGCCCCGCCCCGCACGCGGTAATTACGCGGGCACGGCACGGCTCTGCTTCGGGGGCCCCAGGCGCGGCACGGCACAGCACGCGGGGCCTGGCACAACCCAGAGCCCAGGCGCGGCATGGCACGCGGACCCAGCTCATTTTTCTGATGTCCCTGGTGCCTGCTGACACCGCGTTCGCCCGATGCGCGCTGAACGCTTGTGCGCAGGAGCTGGGGGAATGATGATTTTTTCACGCGCGGAGGTCCTTTGAGGAAGCAAGGAGCGTTCCCATGACACGCCATTTATCGCATCCAGGAGCCTGTACACGGCACGGCACGCGTGCACGGCAGTTGTCTTCGTCCTACGCAGGGGCGGCCCCGCCGAGCACGCGGCATGAGGGCACTGCACGGCACTGATTCTAGAATCTAGGCGCGGCACGGCACGGCACGGCACGTTGTTCACATTCTAGAACTCAGGCACGGCATGTCTTTTTTGTTCTTTGGCGACGAGTATGGCCCGGCACGGTACGCGGGCACAGTACGGCACGCACGCCCAGAGGCGGCAGGTAGTTCGCAGCCGGGGTTCTAGTAGCGCAAGTCAGGTTCCTGGCCGCTTTGCTTGTCCAGGGCACAATTGAGGCGTCAACAGTTTTGCACTCAGTGGTTCTGAAGTCGGCCAGGTGACGAATTGCACCGACGGCGAGTGGGCGGACTGGGGCCCCTGGTCGAAGTGCGCGAAGAGCTGCCGCGGAGGCTACCGCTCCCGGGCGCGCGAGGTCGCCACGGAGGCCTCGGAGTGCGGCGAGCCCGCCACGGGCCCCGCCTCGGAGTTCGAGAGCTGCAACGGCGACGTCCGCTGCGTCGGCGACGTGGACTGCGAGCTCAGCGACTGGGGCGCCTGGGGCGAGTGCGTCGGCGACGCCTCGTGCCACGGCACCCGCAAGCGGTCGCGCGAGATCAAAGTGCACCGCGAGGGCGACGGGGCCTTCTGCGGCCGCGGCGCCTCGGAGCCTTCCGAGGCGCTGGAGCAGGTGGCGCCCTGCGTCCCGGACGGGCTGAGCTACTGCGAGGACCTGGTCGAGGCCGACTGCGAGTTCGACGACTGGTCCGAGTGGTACCAGTGCCCCGTCAGCTGCGGCGGCGGGCAAACGGTCCGTACCCGCCAGATTGTCAGGCCTCTGTCGCCGCCCGCGCCCGACGCGCGCCGCCTGGGCCAGGGGCGCGGCGGGCAGGGCGGCGACTGGACGGCGTTGCCTGGCGGGCGGGGCTGCAACGGCACGACCCGCACGACGAAGGCCTGCAACGAGCAGCCCTGCGGCGAGAGGGTGGACTGCAAGTATGGGGACTGGTCGGACTGGGGCAACTGCTCGCAGTGCGGCGGGCAGCGCTTCAGGCACCGCACGATCGCCCAGGCCCCCGCGAACGGTGGCGCCGAGTGCCAGCTCGAGCACACCTACGAGACGGGGAAATGCCCGCGCTCCTGCGAGGACGACGCCGGCAAGCAGTATTTCTGCGTGTGGAGCGACTGGGAGGAGTGGGGCTCCTGCACGAAGACCTGTGGGGCGGGTTTCCGGCCGCGTCGTAAGTGGCTGAATCTGACTGACGTCAAGCCCAAGGATCCCCTGGCCGTGGCCTCTTTCAAGAAGGAGTGCACGGGCTCGCTCATCGACCTGGACGAGTGCAAGGGCAACCCAGACTGCGAGTCGACCTGCTCGCCGCAGCACTGCATCCTTGGAGACTGGTCCGAGTGGAGCGAGCCAGGGTGCGACGGCATCTGCACGCGCTCTCGCGACATCGCCACGCAGAACAACCAGTGCGGGAGGCCCTGCGAGGGCACGCTGACCGAGACGAGGCCATGCGACAGCACCTGCCAGAGCCGGGACTGTGTGCTCTCAGAGTGGTCGGGGTGGGGCGAGTGCCCGTCCGGCGTGGGCCAGAAGTTCAACTACCGCGCCATCCTCACCGCCCCCACGCTGGAGGGCAAGGGCTGCAAGGGTGCGCTCAATCTCACCGGCTCGTGCCAGACCGGCCCCCACGCGACGGTCCACTGCGAGTTCTCCACGTGGGAGGATCTCGTGGGTGAAACTCAAGCAGTGGCGAAGCGTCCTGGCTCGCCTATAGCCCTACCAAACAATGTTCTAAGAACCTTTTGTGGTTTACACGATATGTTCTTAGAACATTTCTGGCGGATATTGCTTTGTTTTCGCACATCGGGCTTATGTTCTAAGAACATTGTTTTGTGATTAGAACATTTTTGGGCTCTAAGAACATGTCGTGGCAGGACTATAGAAATGCCGGGACGGTCGGTCCCTGCTCAAGAAACACGTGTCGGTATCCGCGGCCTCGCGAGCCGTGCCCCCCAATCGTGCCGCGACCCCCCGCGGATACCGGGGGGGGGCTCTGCTTCGCGACTGCCCCGCGCGCGGAGCGCCTCCCCGCGCGGTGCCGCGTATAGCCGCGGCACCGCGCCCCCGAGCCCAGGCCGCGAGTAGGGAAACAAGAAGTGGCATAAACATAAAAAAAAACTCGGAGGTCCGCGCGGATTTCTCGGATCGGCGCTGGACCTCCCTCCCTGGCGCGCGGAGCGCGCCAGGGGCGGCGCCCGAGGCGCCGCCGGGGGCCCCAGCGCCGATCCGAGAAATCCGCGCGGACCTCCGAGTTTTTATGCTTCTGTCACTTTTTGTTCCCCTAGCGAGGGCGAGGATACGGGCACGTTGCATCACCGCTCGCGAGGACTGGAGCGGCTGCGACCGCGCCTGCGGCGGGGGGCAGAGCGCCCGCAAGCGCCACGTCGCCTCGAAGGCGGAGAACGGCGGCATGGCCTGCGCGGGCGGCCTCGCGGAGGTGCGGCCCTGCGGGCGGGGCGCGTGCGCGGCCGGCGAGGACGAGGCACAGCCCGTCTCGGGGAAGCGTAAGACTCGAGCATGCCGGAACTCGGGTTTGCCGACGCTTCTTGACGAGCGCGTCTCGGATTTTGACGTTCCAGTTTTCGTGGGACGTTTGCAGCGTGAGTTCGCGTCAAATTTCGAACGGGGTCTCGTCATTTTCATGATGACCCCGTCGGGCCAATCCGAGTCCCCCGAACCCCAGTCTTACCTTTCCCCGACCGTCGCCGTGGTGGACTGCCAGCTGGGCCCCTGGTCGCTCTGGAGCAGCTGCCCCGGCCCGGACAATCAGCAGTCCTACCGACAGCGGCGGGTGATCGGCTTCGACGAAGGAAAAACGCTATAGGCATAAGCTGCTGACACTCTGCGCGGATCTCTCGGATCCGTGCCGGGGTCCCCTGGCGGCGCCTCCGGCGCCGCCCCTGGCGCGCCAGGGAGGGGGGGGGGGCCCAGCGTGGATCCAAGAAATCCGCTCGGACCGTCAAAAGTGTATGTTTATGCCGCTTTTTGCTCCTCTACGGGTTGGGCCCCAGGGACGTTTCTAGCAGTTTTCGGCCTCTGGGGGCCCTCGACTGGCCCCGGAGCCATCGAAAAACGACTCGGGATGAAGAACCGACCCTGGGGAACGGGTAGGATTTTCAAACGAGGCGCCGCATGTCTAGGGCTAGGACAGGGTTAAATCGTTCCAGAACGTTCTGCCTCGGAGCGTTCGGGAAGGCTCTGAGAAAGCCGCGGCGCCCGATACGTCCTTCAGAGCCGCCAGATCTCAGAGATCCCGATGGGTCCCTGTCCGACGTTTGTCCCTGTCCTGACCTCGTCTGAGGTGACGCGCGAGGCTGAGGCTGGCGGGCGGCCGTGCAAGGGCATGCTGCGCGAGACTCGGACGTGCAGCGACACGTCCCGCAACTGCCTGTTCTCAACCTGGAGCACGTGGAGCTTCTGCTCTGCCAGCTGCGGCGGCGGCATGCACTCGCGCTCGCGCAGCATCGAGGTGCACGCCCGCGGTGACGGGCTTCAGTGCGACGGGGCTTTGATGGAGACGGGCCGATGCGGCATGGCCTCTTGCAGCAACGACACCTCGAGGGACTGCAAGCTGGGGCACTGGAGCGAGTGGGGTGAGTGCTCGCGGACGTGCGGCGAGGGTTCCAAGGTTCGCGTCCGCAACATCACGGAGCCCGCGACAGAGGGCACCGCGGGCTGCCGCGGTGACTTGCAGCAGGCGGCGCCTTGCCAAGGACCGCCGTGCGAGAAGGCTGTCGACTGCAAGTGGGGCGTGTGGTCCGAGTGGTCCGATTGCGCCCCGGCCTTAGAAGTTTGGCGGCGAGCGTGGGGGGCAGTGAGAAGGGGCGGGCCTCCTCGGAAGGCTCGGACGCCCCCCTGGCCTTCTGAGGAACGTTCAAAGCCTTCCCCGAAGACACGCACGTACATGTGCATGTACAAGTTTTCAGACACGCCCTGTCCACAGGGTTGGCGACGATGGGGTGTTCGAAGTGTTTCACGGTGTTCGGCTGCCGTCGCGTCGGCGCCGGTTTTACTGCCGATGCACCTCTGACGTGCACGGCGTCTTCTGCCCGAAGACACAGGAAACCTCTCAGAAGGCTGGAGTGCTTCTGGGAAGCCCCACCGCCTTCTGCAAGGGCCTTCTCCTTCTCACCTCCCCCCCTCGCTCGCCGCCGACGGTCCGTCTCGGTCGCTCGCACGGGTACGAAGGCAAGCGGGCTCCACGCTTCGCGCCAGAGAGGCGTCCTTTTTCCAGGTGTCGGGACCCTTGGGAGACGGGGGTGACTGCAAGTGGGGGTCCTCCAGCGCACTGGATCTTGCAGGATCCTGCAGAGCCAGGGGCGCATTGACCCGGGCTGGCGCAGAGGATCCTCCAGGGTCCTGCAGGATCCTGCAGGGTCCTGCAGGATCTTGCAGGATCTTGCAACGCCTGACCAGCCAGGGTCTGCACTGACCCGGGCCAGTGCGTCCCCGACAGGTGACGCGGGGGGACCGGCGCAGGGGCGCGAGATCAATCGCGCCTCGCGCGGCGCGTCTCTTGCTCAGCCTGTGCGTACAAGGAGAGTGAAGAGGAGGAGAAGGAGGAGGATGAGGGCGATTGGGATGATGATAATGAGGAGGAGGAGGTTAGGTTAGGTTAGGCACGCCACTAGACCCGCCACCCCGAGCTGGCACCGAGGCCCCAACGCGACATGGCGAGCCCGTGGATTATCCATCAGTCTCTTCCACCGCCGCCCGCTGGCCCATTGGCCTGCGGGGGCCCACTCCCAGGTGCCAGGGTCGCGGGCACCCTGGGGTTCACGCTCGGCGAACGGTCGGCGGCGGCGGCGACAGGCGCAAAGGGCTGCGCCTGTGTCTCGCCGCTGGCGGGCGACGGGCAGAGCGCCTCGTCGTCCTCATCGTACAGCTCCAGCTCGATGTAGTCGGCGGGCTGTACCAATGCCAACCTAGTCGAGCTCGAAGCAAAACCACGGCGGCCTAACCCCTCGCCGCGCTGGGGGGCTAGGTGGCCTAACCCCTCGCCACGCTGGGGCAGGACGCGGTCTAACCCCTCACCGCGCTGGGGTCGGTGGCCTAACCCCTCGCCACGCTGGGGAGTGCTGCGGTCTAACCCCTCACCGCGCTGGGGATCGCCTTGCCCTGCACTCTCGCCGTGCTGGGGTCGGGTGCGGTCTACCCCCTCACCGCGCTGGAGGACCTCGTCGTCATACTCGGCGTACAGCTCCAGCTCGATGTAGTCGCCAGCCGGTGCCCGTGGCAACCTGCTCGAGCTCGCTGCCGATCCACTGCTGCGGCCTAACCCCTCGCTGCGCTGGGGAGGAAAGTGGCCTAACCCCTCGCCACGCTGGGGATCGGTGTGGCCTAACCCCTCGCCGCGCTGGGGCGTGTGGCCTAACCCCTCGCCACGCTGGGGTCTGCTGCTGCGGTCCGACCCCTCACCGCGCGGGGGAAAGCCGAGCCTCGCACTCTCGCCATGCTGAGGTCGATCGCGGCCTAACCCCTCGCCGCGCTGGGGATCTCTGCACCACGTGGAGCGGTCGCGTGGCTGCCCCTGGCTCGGGGGGGTCGCACTGGGGTGCTCAGTGAGCTGCTCCCCCACGGCTCCCACACCATCGCGCCGCCCCTCAAACCTCTGCTCGTCGTCATTCTCATCATACAGCTCCAGCTCGATGTAGTCGGCCGTCGATGCCAGTGCCAACCTGCCCAAGCTCGAAGCCGATCCACCGCTGCGGCCTAACCCCTCGCCGCGCTGGGGGGCTAGGTGGCCTAACCCCTCGCCACGCTGGGGAAGGGTGCGGTCTAACCCCTCACCGCGCTGGGGGCGGTGGCCCAACCCCTCGCCACGCTGGGGGCTGCCGCTGCGGTCTAACCCCTCCCCGCGCAGGGGGTCGCCGAGCCTCGCACTCTCTCCCTGCTGAGGTCGACTGCGGTCTGACCCCTCACCGCGCTGGGGGCCCTTTCTCCTCGCGGAGCGGTCGCGTGGCTGTCCCTGGCTCGGGGGGTTCTCGTTAGGGTGCTCATCGAGCTGCTCCCCCACGACCCCCACACCTCCGCGCCGCCCCCTGAAGCCTCTGCTCGCTTTCGGCACTGCGGTCTAACCCCTCACCGCGCTGGGGACTGCCGTGGCCTTACCCAACGCCACGCAGGGGCTCCATGCGGTCTAACCCCTCACCGCGCTGGGGGAAGTCGCCGAAAAATTCGCCGAGGTCCCGCTGCAGGTCTGGGTCGTCGTAGTCTGCCATCGTCTCGGGCTGCGCTGTGAGCTGACCCTCACATGCGCACTCTGCTGGATGTACTGCAGGTGGTGTGTATCTCGCTGCTGGCCGTCGCTTCACTGTCCTTTTGGGTCGAGGCTCTGGATGCGGTTCTGGTGGGGGGGGGGGTTCTTCAGCACCAAGGGGGCTTGCTCCTCATGCGGGGCCAGGCGCTCCTGATCCCGCAACTCCCTCACTGTGCGCGCCAACTCCGCCTCTTGTGCCGTCTTCGGTGGTCCTTTATAGCCAGGGTATCGCCCATCGCGTATCCTGTTGAGCGCGTCCTGCCCGTACTTGGTGATCGTCTCGTCACACGGCTCCCTCAACCTCTTTCCGATGGTCGTGCCATGCGCCGCACGCCGTGCACAGAACAGCAGACCATACCGCGCCCATTCACTGATCACATGGCTCTGGTGTATCTTGCCATTGCCCATGAACCTGTCGCCCTTGACCTCCACGATCTCGTTTGCCGTGCTGAACGTGGCATTGCACTCCGTCGTCGCGAACTCTTGCAGGGCGTCCGCTGCGATATACTGCCTGCACGCTGTACAAAACCATTTATTCTTGAGCTTGACCATGTCGTGCTGCTTGGCACTGCTAATGATCTCCTGCTGCTTGTCGCGCTTTACCTTGGGCTTGGCCGTGGAGGGTCTCTCTGCGCACCAGGGATCCATGCTCGCTGTGTCTGCCAACGCCTGCCGTGCTCGCAGTCTGACGTGTGCGCAGATCGCGTCCCATTCGTCCGTGCGAGGTAGGGGCCTGCTCACTCTGTCCCATGATGCCTCCGCTGCCACCGTCGCCAGAGCGTCTGCGAAGCTATTGCCCATCGCAAAGATCGGGTTGATCAGCTCCGCCTCCTCCTCGTCCTGATGTGAGGGGGTCCACTCCACTTCGATCTGTCTGGGGTTCGTGTCCATGATCGCCCGCTTGATTCGTGCCCAAATGTCCGCGTTCTTACCTCTACCTGGGTCGTGTGCTCTACCTCTTGGCCACGCGTTGAGTAGTGGATAATGGTCCGTGACGTGCACGATGTCTCCTCGGGTTTCCTCGATCGCGATCGCGAAGGCCACGAGCTCACCTCTCGGTACTGTTTGCCGCCGTCCTGGTAAATCTGCCATCGTACCTGCTGACGTCTGCCACTTGCCATCGATCATCTTCATAGCTGCCACACCTATGCCAACTCGCCGCCTGCGGGGGTCTGCTCCGTGGGTGCCTCCTGATCCGTCGCCAAAGAGATGCAGCCTCCGTCCTGGTACTCGAGCCTCCTCGTAGTTGCCGAACCTGACGTAGTCCTGCCTATCTATGTTGGGCACCTCTGGATGTGTGAGCTCTCTTGGCGGGATCCCACGCAGCCAAAGGGTGGGGTTCGCTTCCACTCCTGTCATCGCTTTGGGCACCAAGTAGTCCGTTCTCTCGTAGTTCTTGTGCCCAGTGTTGGCAGCACAAGTGTAGATGCGGTGGAAGAGGGTCTCGGGCTCCTGTTTGCACCTCGCGCAGATATTTGTGTCGCGTTCGTAGCCGGCTTTGATCTGTCTTTGTCGAGTCCATTGTCCCCCTGTTACCACCACATTGTTGAGCGCCCAGTCCTGCCACTCTGCGCGCTGGCTGTACCTTTTCTGCTCCTTGCTGATATGCCAAATATCTCCTCCGCGTTGTAAATCTTCGCCGTGTAAATGTGTTGCTGCTTGTGCCCACCGTGCCGCGTCAAGGTCGTGCTCGAGGTCTTCTAGCAATTGAGTATATTCTATGGCATCGATGTCGCACTTGCCGTCCTCGTCAATGAAAGGGATATGCCATTGTTCGTCTCCTTGCTGCGTAGGTCGCATCCAGAGCGCCGCCTGCTCTGGCTTCCACCCTGCCGCGATCAAAGTAGCTTGTGTTGCCGCCACTGGTCCATTCACCTTGCGCCACATCTTAGAACCTGCTCTGACCAGCTTGCGGTACGTTGGGCCCCATACTTGCCGTACTCGTCTGTGAAGTTCAGGGTGGTGCATCCATTGATGTAGCCATTCGCTGACAAGCTGCCTCCGTAAGCTAATGCCTGGGTCCTTGAGGTGATACAGAACCGCCATGCCCGTGGATAAACACCTCCCAGGTCCAGACCCAGCAGCCGATCGCATTGCCATCCTTCGTAGCTGTAATATGCGGCTAGGTGCGATGCCCCAGACCTCGTGCCCGTACGACTCCTGCGGGGAAACGCCCGTGGTGAACAAGCCCTGGGTGATCTTCGCTACTTTCGTCGCAATTCGTCTTAACCGAAAGATCTTGCCTGCTCTCCGTTTGTCCTTGCGCTGTCTTGCTCTGGCTTTCTTTTGTGTTCGCTTGCCCATGCCACTGACGTCCGCGCCAAGGTCCACCATGTCTGCTTGCTGTTTGCCTGGGGGACCGCGCTGCTGGAGCTTGCGCCAGATACGCCTTCGCAACTTAGGGTTCGACGCCACGAGCACCGTCTTCGGGGAGATCGTCAGGTTCCGCTGAGCAGCCTGCTGGATGAACTCGTTTGCCATCTCTAGCATCTGCTTCTCAACCATCTCCTCTGTGCCTTCCACGCGTCCAACCGTGTCGTCCACGTACGACCACAAGCCCGCTGCTTGCACTCTCTTCTGCGCTGCCTCCAAGAAGGGGGAGAGGTAGACTTTGGCGAACCTGGTGCCCTGTGCCGAGCCAGCGACGATTGAGCACGTCGGGTCGATCCTGGGGCCGATCCACTCCGCGTGCTTGAGGTGCCGTGGCCCCAAGAACGCTTCCACTTCCATTGCCATAACTGTCGGTGAGAAATCCAGCTTGATCCCCGTGTCGATCAGCCATCCGAGATCCAATGAATCATAAAACTGCTCCATGTCGGCGAACAACCCCGCGTGTGCAATTCCCATTGTGTGCCCCGTTTCGTCGGGCGTGGCTCTGAGTAATGCTGCTCGTAGGGCCGATGATCCTCGTAACGCCGTGTCCCAGTGATCCTCCAGCTGCTGTGTCCACGACTCCACCACCCCAGACCGCATCCGTGACCATATACGTATTGTCATAGGTAACAGCCCCAGAACTCTATCACCCCCAGCTGGTTTGCCCGCAATCGCTCCAATGGTGCCGAGGACTTGTGGGGGCCACATGAGATAGCCCTCGGCGTCTGCGATGATATCTAGGAAATATGTCTTCGCTTGGTCTGGGAGTCGCTCGATATCTAACGGCCAAATTGCGTCGATTCCCTCTTGCCTTCTTCACTCCCATGCGTTGTGTCGCCGCGTTGAGGTCCTGGATGGTGAGTTGCGGTAGTTCCTTCAACTCAGCCTGCTGTCGGCAACGGTGGAGAGCTTCCGCAAGTGCTGCTTGTCTGTGCGATGTGGCGGTCCACTTCTTGGCCCAAGTGTCGCTCTTGTGATTCATGATGAGGATGGGGTCCGCCACTAGCTTGCCTGAGATCATCTCCTCGGGCCGTGGTTGTTGGTTGCCTTTGTCCATCGATGTAATGCGCCTGGGGTCTTCTTCCACATATCCTGTGCCCACTTAATGAAGCCCTTGGTGCCGTCAGCCATTGCACGCCTCGCTGCTTGCCCTGCCAATCTCTCTGTGATCTCAATCACGTCTTCTCACTCCTGTCGTACTGGACTGAAGATGTCGTGCGCCCGCTGCTGCCACTGGTTGAGGAGCTCCACGTCTTTGTGCATGCTGAC